TTGGGTGGGTTTGTCAGCCCTGGATACCCCTGATAATACTTCAGCTTTAATCAACCCGGGTTCCTCTCCTCTCCAGGGAGGGTTCAGCGAGGCAGCCTATGTGACCATTTCACATAAATAAAAGCTCTTATGAGGAGGGGAAAAGGAAACATATAAAAGCGAATTCACTTTGATTCTGTGTTATTATCAAACCCAGTCCCACGAGGCCCCAAATGCCAAATAAAGGTTTACAGGCAGAAGCCGGGCAGCTGCTGCTCTTTGATTGGATGAGCAGCCAGCAGTAGTCTCACCTGTTATCCACAGCCCAGTGCATGGTAAACACCCTGAGTGGGACCTGCGGGGGGAGAGGAGCCCATCTGGTCAGCAGCATTAACAACCATCTCTTTAACAAAGGCTTCCAGCAAAAGGAGAAGGGCACAACAGGCCGTATCAGCCAATAAAAACAGACTATGCATGACATTTAGCGCCTGATGCGGGGGTTTAAAGGTATACAGGTTACTTACTGTCTGCAACAGCCTCTGGCAATAAAACAAAAGGCAATCTCACAGAGCGAGAGGGATGTTGTGCGTAAAGCCGCGCGCCTCCGTTGTTGAGCTCATAATTTTTCCATGAAGGTGCATAAAAGTTACAATGCCAGGATGGTATCATTTGGGTGTCCCACATCAAACATCAGCCCAAGTCGTGCAAACACAATTATTTCCCACTTTGCCGGCCATCGTATTCAGAGATCGTCATTACATGTGAGGAGGAAGGAGCGTGACAGCTCATTTTCTGTGGAGAAGAATGGCTAAAGCTGGAAAACATGAGACWGATGAGAGTCAGGCTCAAAGTAGAAAGTCAGTGAAGATTAGAGGGGTTATTTGGCTAAACAGTGCCACCTTGTGCTCTGTYGCTGATCCCCCTCAAAACAACTGAACTGTGCAATTTATCAACTTTATTTCCTCATTTTTTTTTCATCAGAATGGTTTAAATTAAGCAGCTAAAATCCAAAGTTTTTTTTAGCTTTGTTCATTTAGTGCATGCTAAAAAAAAACAAACCTCGTCCGAACAACTGGTCGCTCAGGTCCGGTCGATATTCAACAGGCTCTATTTTAAGCAAAAGATAAAGGCAAAGCATGAAATCTAGAGAATACAAAGAGGACAGTGAAGATAGAAAGATTGGAGGTGGAGTTTGAACAGCGAGCAGTAGGTTCTCTACAGCTGCTGGCACTAATGAGGATAATTACCTCAGTAATAACATTAGCCTATCTGAGGGAATGGAGGGGAAGGACAAGTGCTTGTGTGTGTGTGTGTGTGTGTGTGTGTGTGTGTGTGTGTGTGTGTGTGTG